AAATAATGACTGATATTATATTAGGTTTTAATTATATGTTTTATGCATTCTTAACAATAATAATAATAATAATAATAATGTTATTAATTTTTTTATTTTGAATTTAATGTTTTTAAAAGGAATTCATCACAGAATAATAATGGAAATAATCAAGTTACAATTACAAAACAAAATAGAATATATGATTCAGATAATCAGATTGGAATAAATAAAGAGGTAAAAGTTTTAAAATAATTTAAATATTAAAACAATATTGATTTAATTGTTTTACATTCTCCATAGTATTGATTTATTATTGTAGTAAAAGAAGGAACATAATTTTTAAAACAATTAATATACAGTAATAAGCTTACAGTAAACTCTTGATAACATGAAATGGAAGGGACAGAGAAAATTTTTGAGTTAATAAAATTTCAAGTTACAGAAACTACCATTATTTTTATGAGATTGTAAATATCACAATAAAAACAATATAATTAGACTCAAATACAATATATTTTATTGTCTTTTAGATATATGTACAAAATAACAAAACATTGATACTATTACTTATTGGGAAATATGAAAGGAAAGCTTTAGATTTTTGTTATAATAATAATCAGTTTTAAACACTTACAAATAATAAACAATATTATAATGAAATTAAACTTATTAAAGTTTTTCTTTTAAACTGTAAAACATCTTAACAAAAAGTTGCTTTTTTTGTAAAGTAATGTAAATACATAAGGTGGATGTCATGCCGACAAATGTACTACATACATGAGGAGAATAACTCAACATAAAAAGGGCGTTAAGAAATATTTTATTTCTTTGCGAGCACTTTTGATGCTGTTGGGAACGTTGTCTTCAGGCACAAATGCAAATCAAATGTTTTTCCGAACAAATTTTAAATTACAAATAGAAACAGCCTTAACCGAATTGAACAAATTTTAAAATTACAAACAGAAACAGCATTAACTGAATAGAATGTAAACATTTTTAGAACGATAATATTTAGAGACTTATTTTTAAAAATCACATAATGCATGCACTTAGATATGAAGAGAAGGTGGAAGATGTGGGGAGGTGGAGAAACAAAGTTAATCAGAATTATTTAATAGCTTATACAAGCTGGTCCAAATTCCAGGTAATTCAAGGGTGGGGGAGTTGCATGGGGCCAAATAATCCCTTCATTAAAATAATTTATTACCTGTATGTGTTAAAAAGTATATTTGTACTATTTAAATTATAGAATGTTTATTGACTTTTATTATTGCTATTTTTAATCAATATTTTAAACACTAAATCATTTTTTAATCATGATTGTGTACAATATAAATAAATATTTAATAAAAATAATTTCAATTTTCAAGGAAAACAAAATAGTAGAATCAAAACTTTTTATAGAAGGAACAGTTATGGGTTCCATTAATAATGAAAAAACAAAGGTAACTGTAAATTTATAAATTTTATATTTATCAAAAATAAATGATATAAAGTATAATATAAAATTTTTATATTAACATTTTAAATAAAATTAAACATTTATTAATTAAATAGCAAAATAGTAATTAGCAATATTTGAACTTACACTGGTTAATATAAGAAATATTAAAAAAATGGAGAAGTTTCTTTAAAATGATTAGAATATTTGTATTAATATAAAACAAAGTAAGTTAATAGGATAATACTGATGAGACTATAGAATATATACGATATAATATTCAAAACTATCAAAATTTACTTTAAAAAAAATCTCTCATATTTAGTTATTATAGGTAATCTTCCTTTTCATGTCTCTTAATTGTTAAATTAATAATAATAATAATAATAATACAGAAGGCCACTATATTGAATACATGCCATATTGTTAGGAAATTCCTGAATACAGACACTGACACACTTATTTAATTTTAGTTTTGTTTTTGTTGCTATGCCTTGACTCTGGTCCAGCATAGTACACAGCTACAGGTGTGAACTGAGTATAACCCACTAAACCCAACATAATAATATTAATTACTAAAGTTTGGGATGACACTATATCAAAATTTATCAATAAAAAAGGAAAGAAATTCTGTTTTCAGCTATTAAATCTTTTAATTCTGAAAATTATAATTGATAAAATACAAAAGTAATAAATTCTAATACTTTACATAAATTAATCTTATCTTCAGGCAATCTAATCAAACAAATTGTAAATTAAAAACTGATTGCTTTTGCATTTTATGAGTTATAGCTTTTATAATTAATATACTAAACACTTAAAGGCAGACATTTCTTTTCTTCTTATTATATTAATCATTATTTGTACATTATTGGTATGTTTAATGTTGAGTATTTTATACAATGTTTCAATTCTGATGATAATGTAGTGGCACAAAATTTGTTTTAGTGACATATCATATAATGATGCATAATATATATGATTTCTTTTATATGATATACCAGAAATTATATATGTTGATATCAGTAAGTTTGTTGCTTAAAATATTATTACAGTAACTTTTTAGTTGATTTTATTGCAAATTTTGAATGATATATTAGATTTCAATTTGATTTCTAGAATGAATATGATATCATTACTTTAGAAGCTGTAACAATGCTTTAGAGTTGCTGGGCTTTTTTTTTCAAAAACAATTCCATAAACTGGAGCTGCTGCTGCTTCAATTCATGGAATTGTGGATTAAAGTAGATATCACAATTGTCAGTAACCACATTTGTTGATGTTGAATGTTTTTGTACTGAATAAAAATAATGACATGAAAAAAATATATTCACTAATTACTTTTTTGTATAGAAGTTTTAGAAGATTCTGCATGGATTTTCAACAATATGTTGCAATATGGAAATTTAATCATAATTATAAGAAACATAATTTAAACAATGCTGTATATCACTTATGCTGTAATAACAGTTATCACTAGGAATCATTTATTTTCCTATTTTTCTTATACTTATCACTGATATTTCTTTATAGCTCCTGATGTTTTATCCTTTTTCATGTATTTTTTCATTCATTCAATCAATTTTATACTTTTTATCAAAATAATAAATATAATACAAAATAATAAATATAATAGAATCCTGTAAACTCTACTCTCGATAACTCAACATTCCATATAACCTGCCATGCCAATGATAATAACATCAATTTCACATGTTAACAAAGAATATAACTCTTTTTCCCAAAGTGCCACTACAAAATACCACACTGTGAATGTCACTAACTCAAAAGTAGCAACTGAATAGCTAATTTTTAACTATTTTTAAATTAAAATTTAACAAAAAATAGAAATATTTACTATTGGTATGTAATTAATATGTTTATGAATTTGTACATATAATACAATACCCTGTAATACAGATGTAAAAATTACATATGTAAACCACTAAGACATTGTCTGGAACTAAATTTTTATGATAAAAATATTGCCAGGACAAATAATTGTAAAAATTAACAAATATTAGACTATATAATGATGAGTCATCTTTGTTCTTGTTCACACCTCAAGAAAATAAATCTTATGGTGGAGTTGACCTTTTATTGGAGGCTGCTTCATCTTCCTCGTTATGCAAAATGTTAAAAAAAATGTTAATTGTTATTTGTTAATTCTTACAATTATTTGTCCTGGCAATTTTTTTATTAAATGCATTTTATATTTTTTTAATTGTGCCATTATCAAAAGAAAGTTTTTTTTAAAGTTTTGCATTATGGCAGACAAAACAGCTTCCAATAGAAGGTCAACTTCACTGTAAGACTGTTATTTTCCTGAGGTGTGAACAGGGACATAGAAGACTCTTTATTGCATGTAAAGTCTAATATTTGTTAAATTTTTATAATCTTTTGTAGTACAGCAATTATTTTATAGTAGATTGTATTACTATAGATTTTCTTTTGCTCTGAATGCATCAAAAGTTTTTTAAAAGATTAATTTGTAGTAAAGTATTGAGTTTTGAATAGTTCATCCCAAAGTTTGTAAAACTTGTCATTTTTAATAACTCTTTATCTTCTCAGTTCACATTAAGTCAAGTTTGTTAGACTCTACTGTAATAAGTATTTTATCTAAAAAATAATTAATATATTTTAATGAAAATAATTTTTAAAACTTATTTTATTTAAAAATGATGATTTTTATTTTAAGGTCTCTTCAGATTGTTTGAAGGAAGATAATTTCAAGATATTACAATCATATGCTGCTTTTCCAAAGCATAATGATGAGTGGAATGAATTAGCCCAAGTAATTTTAAAGGTAAACTTTTAACATTATATATCAAATATTCATTCAAATTATCAATCTCAAAAAATTAAAAGTTGTTTTTAAAATATGTCAGAAGTTGCATATTTGTATATACAGTGGAACCTCACTTAAAGAGCATAATTCATTCCAGAATCTTACTTGTAATCATGGGTGTAGCCAGAGTTTTCTTAGGGGGAGCCTAGTAGAGGCCAACCTGACACAAAATTGAATTATTTCAAATTATTGTTCATTAAAATGAAAATTCCATAACTTAACACATAAAATATGAAACTTCTTTTAATCATAACATTGGGCACAGGGAGCCGTTGACTTTTTTTTTTTTTTTCAGTCTTTTTATTTATTTTTGTAAATCGGCTCAACACTTTTTCGGCTGTGATTTTCTGGGGTGGGGTGGACACCAGGTTAACTGGGGGGCCGTGCCCACCCAGGCCCCCCTTGCTACGCCCATGCTTGTAATGCAAAAGACTCATTAAGTGAAACAGTTTTTTCCATATAAATTAATATAAAATACGATAATGCATTCCGTGCCAAAAAAAAATACTTAAATATTTTATGTATAATGTTTATTCAAAGACAATTATACAATATACATTGTTAAGGAGCGTAACTCATCATCATCTTTTCTTCTAGCACAGAATGAACCAAACTGGAATGTGAATTCAATTTGCAGAAAACAAAATAAATCACAGATAGGCCACCATGTTACAGCAAGAGTGAAGCAAAATGACATCATGAGCAGCGTTGGCCATTTAGAAACGTGTTTCAAAGTGTTCACTGTGAAGCACTTCTTGAGCACTGCATAAAGAAACGTGGCCATATTATGTGTGATAAACATGCCAAATGATATGCCAAATTCTTGGGCTATGTAAAGGCTATAATTAAATATTAGAAATTAAATAATTTCACTAGAGGTAGGCAATTATGCTTCCATCTTGTATTAAATTTAATGATTATAAATAAATAAATTTTTAATTTAGAGATTTCTAATATTTAAGTGAATTGGTCATTAAATTTAATACGAGATGACAGCATAACTGTCTACCTCTAGTCAAATTAATTAATTTCTAATATTTAATTATAGCCTTTACATAGTCCAAGAATTTGGCATATCGTTTGGCATGTTTATTATATAACGGGTGATGGTTGTTGTTGTTTATGTGTATGAAATCCGCGAATTTTACGTAGCTGTCAGGAAAAAAAATTGTAAACATCTTCATTAGAAAAAATGGAGAGATAGAAATTAGATCAGAGGTCACCGGTTGTAGTAACAAGTCAGTGGGAAAGTTGACACACAGCTGTCATGCACTGTCATCGTCAACGAAAGTCGATCACATGTTAGATTTCCCACGACAATGATATAAAAGGTGTGAGCCACCGGAAGCTCGAGAGTTCGCACACAGAAGTTATATTTGGTCATAGTGATTCCTCGCCTCCTGTAACAGTAGAAGACATTGACAACACCCAATGCTTTCATAAAGAACTTTCATCACCGCATATAGGACTCCTCCAACTTTAGAGGTAATTTTTCAGCAGACTGCAAACTCTCTCTTGTAACAGAAGTAGGCATAGTCTTCATAGAATGGACAAGCAGTTGTCAAAATTATAGATTTTGGTTGTGTTATGTTAATCGCATTTAGCCTATATAACCTAGAGATATGCATTTAACCCTGTGTAGCCTCCTGTATTTTAGTGTTAGCTGTATAATAAATGCTTTGTTATTTGGTTAAACCTGTCTCCTGTATCTGAAAGGACTTCTGTCGACTTTCTCACCTTCCTTGCCACTTGATAAAAAGCCATCCAGAACACAATGTGAGCGGTCCTTGCAGACTGTTGCCGAGTAAGAGGTCAAGAGGGGCCACAGTTTCTCACATGTGTAATATGTGTGAACACAAGTTTGGAAAAATGATCACAAGTGACACTAAGATGCTAGCGGAATGAGTGCTAAACACAGACTGATGGAGCATGTGCACAATCCGGGATTTCCCCTCTCCCCACTTGTTATGCGAAATATCAATCATTAAGTGAGTCATTTTTTACAATTTTGTTTTGCTTGTTATGCAAAACATTCATTAAGTGAAATTTCACTGTATTATACTATATTTAGTTTCTGTTTGAAAATATAGAGTAGTCTGTGATATATAATTTAAATTTTATAACAGAACACAAAAATTTATTGTAATTAATTTTATCACTTATATTTTGGATAGATATGCAACATTTTATTCATACAATTTAATGTAATAAATGGATATTACTTATGTTAACCATTTAAATATTAAAAATTAAATATGTAGAGAAAGATTTACCACAGAGCTCAGAAACAAATAGTTTGAAACAACTTTAAGATTTTTTCAGTTCTTATGATTTACAAAAATTTTTAATAAAAATTAAATTTATTATTTTTTATAAAATGTATATTCAATGTCATAGTTATCCTTCTTCTTCTTTCCATAGTCATTGTTTCAGCAATCACAGTTTTACCAACTTGCCATGTTTTGTAACCTGTGGTTGATGAGGAAAGCCTTCTTAAATAAAACATAATTCAAAAATCCAAATGATAGATTATTACTCTAAACTTTTTACTATTTTTGGATACTAAATTTTGTTTTGTTTGATGTTGAATCTCTGTCATGTTTTTGAATCACACTATATATCAGGTATATATATATCACACTATATATTTCTAGAAAAAATCAGTGTCTAAATTCACCTTTAGACACTGATAGTGTGATTTTTTTTCTAGAAATAACTGGAAAAAAACGTTTTAGAACATTCAATATGGGTATATAAGTAATCAAAGCATATTTAGTTGGAAATAGATGCATCAGCAATGTCTGACAATATGAAACTCTTGAAACATTCACATGCTCTTGCTCTATCACTTCAAAAGTGGCCACAATGCAACAAAGGTTCACAATCTCATCTGCAAAGCATTCTTTGGTGAACAAAGGTCAACCTTTGCAAATGTCAAAGGGGTAATAATGCAGAATGTGATGATCTGCATTTGCTTGGTATCATCATGATGGAACTGTTTCCAACTAATGTCACTGTCATGAAAGAACGCTACTGTGAACAACTGGATCTTTTATACACCAAGATAAAAGGACTTCATCCAAAAATTGACAAAGTCTAATACCATCATGATAACATGCCAGCACATAGAGCAAAGATGATCTTAGAGATTCTTCCTCATCTACCGTACAGCCCCAGACCTGATATCAACTATCCTCTATATTGGGCCCTGCCAAACTACATTGCTAATATACAGTACAGTGATGATACCTGATGCTTGATACTTTCTTCAAAGAAAATCCCCAGTCATTTTATGCTCATGGAATTGCAATAAAGGTGGGAATATATGATTGATATTGATGATTACCTACTAGGCTGAACTATAATCGTTTAGTTAACTATAAATAAAGTTTTTCAAATGTCTAAATTTGTTCATATTGAATAAATGAATAAATTTACCTTTTAAATTATTTGAGTAGTACTAAATTTAAATAAAAAGATAGTAATAGTAGTAATTACAGTAGTAACAGTAATAATAGCAAGATATATTTTATTTTTAAAAATTTAAATACAGTTTGTTTCACAAATCTCAATCAGGCTGTAAAATGTGCAGTAGATAGGACCAGTTTATTTATTTAGTGAAGGGAACAGACTGTTTGATGAATCTTTAACAAGGTTACTGCATGCTACCAAAAAAGACTGAAACTTTATAAAACTATTACAGCCCCAATCATATACTGTGCATTGCTCAGCCAAAATATATGAAATGATTAGTATTATAATTTAAGATATACATAGTCCAGTCACATTAATGTGACCACCACTTACTGTCAACATCAACGTGAAATAACTAATCACAGATGGCAGGTAGCAACATATTGTAGTGGAGGTTATATAAAGGGTATCTGAGGTAAGCGAAACACATTGCAGTCATTGGCATAATGGATGTACAACGCAATTTATCCGACGTCCAAATGGGCATGATCATTGGCTTCCGGGCCAAGGGTGGAAGCATTTCTGAAACAGCTAATTTTGTAAACTGTTTGCATACCACCATGGTAAAAGTATACCGTGCATGGCAAAATGGCACTATCCAAAATCAGCGACGTGGCAAATGTAGTGCACCACTGGACATAGACGACAGAGGTGAACAATGGCTGCGGAAATGTGTTCGGGCAAATAGACGTCAACTGTTGACCAACTGACCGCCCAGATGAACCAAGGAGCTACCAAAAGTGTCTCCTCAACAACAGTTCAGTGAACATTGCTGCGTAGGACCTCTTCAGCAGATACCTGATTAAAGCACCTATGCTGACTCCTGTTCATCAGCGACGAAGGCTGGAATTTGCACGCCAGTATGGTAACTGGACGTCCACTGAGTGGCGATAGGCAGCTTTTTTCAATGAATCACATTTTATGCTCCATCAGACAGATGGACATTGGTTTATACAGTGTGAGACATCTGAAAGCAAACATCCTGCAACAATTGCCGCAAAGGTCCAAGCTGGAGGAGGGAGCATTATGGTCTGGGGAATGTTTTTGTGGCATTCTCCAAGTGCACTTGTCATTGTGGAAGGCAAGATGGATCAACAGAAGTTTGCATCTGTCTATGTGGACCATGTTCATCCCTACATGCAGATTGTTTTTCCTCAGAATGATGGCATCTACCAGCAGGTCAATGCGACATGTCATACAGCTTGCAGTGTACGTGCATGGTTCGAAAAGCACGAGAATGAGTTTACCATACTCCCCTGGCCACCAAACTCCCTAGACTTAAACCCAATCAAGAATCTGTGGGACCACATCGATTGGGTTGTTCATGCCATAGATCCTCAACCATGCAACCTAATGCAACTGGTCATGGCACTCAAGTCGACATGCCTCCACATCCCTGCGAGTACATTCCAGAACCTCATTGACTCTCTTCCTGCATGTCTGACAGTGGTCCATGTTGCAAAAGGTGGTTATTCTGGCTGTTGACAGGTGGTCACATTAATGTGACTGGACTGTGTATATATATATANATTTGATATTACACCATTCGATACAATTTTTATGTAATTAAGAATTTAAGTCTAAGTAGTTTAATTATTTGCTTATTCTTTTATTTATATTTTACTTGGAACTGTTTTAAATTTTTAAATTAATTAGTTAACTGTTTATTTTTCTCTTTCTTTCCTAGTGTAGTAAAAAGATATACAGAAAAAACATTTACACTTAACACCATATTCAAAGTTATTAGAAACAACCAGGAACCAATGAATTTGGTTTACTGAATAAAATTATTAGTCTATGAATGTTTTTTCAAGTTTATGTAAATGTAGAATTTTCAGATATCTCTAATTTATTTTTGTTGAGAATAAACAGTTCATGATTTCAAGTAAATACAAATGCTTTGATAATAAAACTGAACATTTAATTATTCATGCAGCTTACACTGAATGCCGAAGTGTTTATTGTCAGTTTGCAACTTTTAATTTCAGTAGGAATATTTTTAAACTATCAGTTGTGATAAACTTGAAACAGAAATAACCCACAAAATCATTTAACTATAATGTGTTAAAGTGCTTTTCAGGATCATTGTCCCATCATCTGTTTCAAATGTTTAACATGGATCTGACAATTGGACAGTATGATGCCGAAAAGCAACTTATCACATTAAAAAAGTCAACTCCTTTAAATATTTTTGTAGTTATTTCTGTTTTTAAGTTTAAAGAACAAATAAGTGGTATAGTATTTAATTGCAGTTTAGAGTGCACACCAGTAGTTCTCAGGGTGCCAAAATATGGAAGTATATTTTAAAATTGAAAAGAAACCAATTTATGCAATGATTTATTACAACTATACAATTAATTAATAGCTAGTTAGACTTACAGGGTAGCAATTAGTAAACTATACAATCTGAAAGTTGCATGAATATAAAATTTTTATTTTAAATATGATAGCCATAAATGAAGTAAAGTAGAACCATATGTGACCAATACATTTCAAGACTCACCACATGTGCTATTTTGAACAAATCTCCACATATTGCATTAATTATTTCCTACACTAGCATAGCTATCACACATTTTTCATATAAATAAGGCAAAGAAACACTATATTAACAATACATTGCATGTTACTGCAAAGTATGAAAACAATTTTAAAAAATTTTTACAAACAGACTTTGATCTTTTCTCACTAAATCTAAAATTTTAATTTATTTCTCTAAATTAAGCACTTTGTGACTTCACTTTGATTTATCAAAGTTACCAGATTACTACCCTTGTGTTTTTGAGCCATGTTTGCAAAGTAATTAGCATAAATGAAACAAAACAGCACTGATATCACATGGACACTACCTGTTACAAGTGAGAACTCTGGACAAAGACTGATGTGAGTTCCAGTGTTTAGTGCAAAACAAAGAAATGAGTCACAGTAATCTTTTTTCAGAATGAAATTGAGTAAGACTGAATGAGATGCTGTGAGACTTTATACACTTTAAAAAATGATTCAGATTTAGCATGCAATAAATAAATTTTATTTTATGCATTTTTCATTTTTTTTTAATTGTCAATAGTATAAATCTGAAACTTTGTGTGATGAATCTATATAAAGAGAGTTTGGATCTTACTTTATATGTATTTATCTCATATTAATTAAATTGTTATATTTTTTATCTTTAAATAAATCTTTATAATTTTTAATATATTGTAGATTAACTAATTAAACTAAAAATTTTAAATATATATTTTTTTCCAGTATCCTGAACTGTTCTCTGGTTTATTGTCTCCATGGAAAGGACTTCTCCTCTTTGGTCCACCTGGTAACAATTTCATATTTTACTATATTCAGTGATAACATAAGAAACTGATAATCTTTTCAATATTTAAATTAATATTACTGTATTTTTGTGCCTAGAACTCATAGGTTACCATGTTTTAAAACTCAGTTTGAAAGGGATTGTGATGAGGAGTTATATACTGATTTTAAATTACAAATCCAAACTTTTGCCTATAGAATAATGAATCCTTCATAGACAAGAGTTTGTATTTATAATTTTTATAGGTATGGGGTATACAGTAAGAGGACTATGTGAAAGTTTTATTTTTGTTCTAGCAATAACTTTCAAGATATATGCACAAAAATGTGGTGGTAAGAATTTTCAATAAAAAAAAATTTCTTTAAGGTACTGGAAAAACAATGTTAGCTAAAGCTGTAGCAACTGAATGTCAAACTACATTCTTTAATATATCTGCTGCTACTATCATTAGCAAATGGAGAGGAGATTCAGAAAAACTGATTCGGGTATTTATTTTAACTATATAAATATTACCTTGATAATTAAACAAATTAACAAAAACATTTATTAATAAGATAATTTAATTTTAATGAAAATTAAAAATCAATATTACATAAATTATTTTATTAAATATTTAAAATGTATCAATTTTTTAATGTTAATTTTTTGTAATATTATGACTATAGTAATTACAAAGATTTATATTATGTATGAAATTAGTAAATATTGTGATAACATGGTATGCTGCTAAATAGCATGATGATATCTTAATATTTTTAACTGATTCCAAAATATTTTCAAAAGGTGAACAGCAGGGGGAAAAAAAATGGATTTGAACATTGGATGGCAGAAACATATTAAAGACAAATTATCATATAATATTAAGTGTGACAATACAAATTTTTATTGGGTCATCAAGAAAGTATTTTCAGTTTTACAGTATTGATACATTTTGCAACAGTGGTATATAGTGGTATTTGGTTCACTATATTAATCATTGTTGAACCCATCCTAGGACCAGTGGATCCACAAATTGACTATCATCAAATGCTGGTGCATATAAAGATATGCTCTTCACTGTTTTTGTAGAAGTGACCAGTGACCCCTTTTTGGATCAGCTAGTGATCTGTGGTTAATGAAATAATATGAAACACTTCTTCTTTTTATATCTTTTTTTCAGTATGAAAACTCTCTCTGCATACAATTCAGCAATAACTATAATTTCACAACTGAAGGAGATGTTTGATTAACTATTTTTCAATATTGAAGAAGTTACATAGGAAGGTAGCCAATAGTAACAACATAATAATAGTAATAGTGACATATAAATGCAATTCCACGATATTTGGTATCCTTAGAAATGACAAACCCAAGAAAAGTCATTCCAATACCCAGGACTATATACCACTTCACTGGAGGACAAGTGTTTCAACAGAAGACTTCTCTATGAAGGGGCCACTACATGTAACTTTGAGAAAAGGATTAAAGAACATCAATACACAGTAAACAAAAATATGAACAACACAATACTAGCAGTCTATGCTAAACAATAATAAGAATAATGATAATTCAATCAGCAATGAGCAAGATAGAGATACTTGAAATTTATAAGGCCCATCAGAAACAGACATGTATTGATTATAGAGACACTTTATCAGAAGCCTGAAGATCTATTTATGAACTTTGATGTGGTATTATGCTGTTGCTTTACATTAACTACTGCAATATGTTTTGTTTTATACAGTAGACTCTTCTATATCTAAACTAATTTGGGTGGGAGTGATCCAGATGTAAAAAAAACTGCAAATAAGGGAGAGTGATAATTTTTAAATAAGACTATGTAACATATATTGGTTTTACATGGCTATTACCCAATAGATCTATTTGGTCTAAATTTATACACAAAATTAGCTTTTTTTGAATCTGAGTTACACACTAGAATTATCCATCTAATTCATTATTATTTTTAATAATGAACATTTCATTGAAATAAGAGATTGGTTTTTTTTAAAGGTTATTTTGTTACATGGAAGATTAATAGCACCCAATTATGATGGCACATACAAGTGGCAGCGTGAAAAATTTTCATTTCATAATTTTCTTACACCTTAATTAAAATTATACATGAAATATACTAATTTTCTGCTCCTAGGAATTTTTCTGTCAAAACCAATACAGTAGGGCGTCGTTTATCCGAAAGCCGGTTATCCGAAAGGATTCCAGTTGGCTAATTTAAATTTTCGCTAGTGCTGTGGCGCTGCAATTTTCGGCTATATCTTGGGCTACTCCAATATTTTTTTTTTGTTGGTGTATGTGTTTTAGCTGGCAGCACTGGCACTTTTGTGTGGTGTTTTTCTGAGGACTGTGTGTAGTGCTGAATCGAACGTTTTTGATACTAGATCAACTTTTAAAGTATATATATATTTTTTTTGGTTTTTATATTTTTCGATATATTTACTTTGTTTGTAAAAAATAAATAAATAATTTTTAACAATACAATAGCCATGATTATTATTTTAAAAAGTTTACGTTGGGCTTAACATCAACGAAAATTCAACGCGAAGCGACACGCAATGGAGAAAAATTTCAACATGGGATAGGTTAATATATTTTTTTGTACATAATCGGTTATCCGAAAAATAAGTTATCCGAACAACCCCAGTCCCCAATTGATTCAGATAAACGACGCTCTACTGTATCTAAATAAACGAAAAAGTTTAATTGTTATCATTTCAAATATTAAAAGTTTTAGATAAACATTACACAGAAATGAAATTAGTACATTAAGTTTAATGATTCAATCTATTTTAAAGATTGTTTTCCTTGTTGATTATAACTTTCTTTTGAAACATGTTACAGAATTGAAACATACATAATTGAGAAAACATAATTATAAGTTCATCATAATATATACAGATTAATGTCATATTAAAAATTTACATTTATTTTGCCAATCTGCAAATATTTTAATTGTTTTAGTCATCCCAATAATAGTCAGACACTTACATCAATGAACTGATCATTATTCAAAGGTCAGCTGCTAACACTGGTCAATAGGAAAGACATCATCCTCCTGCATGACAATGCCAGAACATTACAAGGAGAACAGTGCAGAAATTGTAAGAGTTGAACATTGAAGTTTTGCCTCATCATCTATATTCACCTAATCTTTCCCCAACAGACTTGCTTCTTTGCTCTTTGGATATTGTCTTCAAGGAGAAACACTTCAGGAAACAAAGTGATGTTGAAAATGCCTTTCATTATGTTAAAGTTTCTAAAACACTAGATTTTTATGTATCCATTATAAAATCATTTGTATCTTGTTGGCAAAAGTGTGCTTAACATATTAGTTCTAATTTTGATTAAATATGTTGCTTGATAGTGGAGTTATGTTTTATAGTTGACAATTAAAAACCAAAAATACTTTTGATGACCCAATAACAAGCAATATTCAAGGCAAAAACTTTTGAAAGTGCTGATCCAAAGTAAAAAAATAAAATTATGTTATTCTGAATAATTCTAATAACGTTTTAAAGGAAATACAATTGATTCTTGATAAGTCAAATTTTATTACTGCCTCCAATTTAAATTCCATAGACTCAATAATGTGTGTGTGTTTGTGTGTCTGTGTGTCTATAAGTCAAAATGTTTTTGAGAGCAAGTTTTAATAACTCAATCTAAGATTTAGTAAATTTATTTCATATCTGATATTACGTATGTACTTTGTTGCATTACAGGTTGATTAAATGTTGAAGCAGTATTTTTCTAAATTTAAACTAAATTTTAGTTAATATATATTTTAGGTGTTGTTTGAATTGGCTCGATTTTATGCTCCATCAACTATTTTCTTGGATGAAATAGATTCATTAATGGGTCAAAGGGTTTTTCAATCAGGAAAGTGAGTTAATATTTCTGTTTTTAAGTTTTGATATTATTTAAAAAATTTTAAATAAATAAATAAACCAAAAAGTTTTTTAATCTTTATATTTAAAAATAGATTTATTAATAAATAGAGATTTTGTTTGAATTTAATTAAAATATGTGATGATGAGCAACTTAGATTGAAAACATTTGGTTTTATTTATTTATTTATTTATTGTTATTGATACATGTACTCCCATACAAGGGGGAGGGGAAATGAAACAAAATTTATAAAATAAGCAGCCATATAATAATTTTTTAATTTACACTTAAACATTGCAATTACCACAAATAATACAAAGATTTAACAAAAAAGATGAACAATTTATTTGTTCATCTTTTTTGTTAAATCAATCATAAATAAATTGTTCATCTTTTCAGAATTATCAGTGAGAATCTTTCTCTTTAATGAATGTAAAACAGGACATTATGCAAAAATGTGTGTTAGTGTACAGTCCTGATCAATAATACAATATGGGCAAAAATGCCCTTATAAATATCTATATGCTGATCACTCACCATAATCCAGTATTTATTAAGACCTAATTGCATTAACAAACTTTTCATAGAAAATCCAATGTTATAATATAGGTAATTGGCAGTCTGTGAACTCATACTTTTTCATAAATAGTGTGTTGCTGAACTGAAACAATTGACTATATCTATTAACAGGTTATATCTTGATTCCATAATTCATTAAGTCACACAAATAAATTCACAATTATAACTGTGAATGATTTGAAAATACAAAAGAATGACCTCAATTATTAAAAATGTTTTTAATTGATAGATCCCAATTTCTCTTACTCAAATGTCTTTTCTTCAATAAAGAATCACAAACACAATACCAAAGGTCGTGACGAGGAAGATCGGAATCTTAGACCAGAAAATTCTGGTCTAAGATTCTGATCTTTCCCATCATGACCTTTGGTATTCCCATCATGATTCCCTAATTCCAATCTTACAACTGAACCAGACACTGAATGTTCAAGCTTAAATAACGTTTTGAAATATCTTAATAGCACGTTCTCAACTTTTCTCAATAAAATCCAAACCCCAAATTAGAATCAAGTATGTCAATTTAGACTTTAACATAGCATCAAAAAGTTTAAACATTGTTTTAATAGAGTTTATCCTCATTTTTTTCTGTAGTGCCAAAAGACAACCTGTATTCTGTTGTATATTTTTCTCTACTATATTCAAATGATAATTAAAAATTCCAGAAGAGGAAAAATTCAGTCCTAAATATTTATAATGAGAAATGAAATTAATTTCTACGTTCTTAATAAAAATGTTATCAGTTTTATGAGGTCTTCCTCCATTATGAAACACCAATCCTTTTGTTTTCTGAAAATTAATAGAAAGATCATTTCTCATCATATAATCAGATAATAAAATCACTTTCTTCTGTAAAGGTGACTTTGAGTCTGCTAATAATAATACTTCATCTGCAAATAGAAGACATTGTAGCTTATCTGTGACATTTAGGTAAAGACCCAAAAGATCAGAATGAGGAAATATCTGTGGAAGATCATTTATAAACATTTGGTTATAATAAATAAGCTTTGTATACAACAATATTAAAATTTTTCAATGAAAAATAATTTTTTCTTAATTAAATAGAATGCTCCTATATTTTATTTAAATCTGAAAAATGATGACATTATATAAGCAATATCACACTACAGACTATCATAGGAACAAACCTAAACATTGATCTTTTAATTGAGATAATGCAAACTAAAAATATAATAAACTTCATATTAAATTTTTAAACGAACTTCAAAAAATTTCTCTAATAAAAACTTTTTTATGGTTTGTTTTATTGAATGCTTTTTTGCAAACCTCAGTTTTGCTTTTTAAATAAAATTCAAAACATTTTTATTCTACATGCAATTAAAATTTTAAAATTATTTGTTAATTAATAGATAAATATAATTAAAATAATGCCAATTAGGCATAGCTATATATATTAAAATGGAATTTCCCTTCCACTCAAACATTTTTTAAATTTCTAAGTTTTCAGCCAATAGAGAAGTCTTTGAATGTTTGGAATATTCAGGCATTTGAGATTTAAATTACTTCCAGCAAAAACTGGTTTTTGACTGCTCCAACACAAAGCATTTGATTTAAGTTGTTTTTTTAGTTTATTATAGTTACAAGTATTTTTTTTGTTATCTCAATTAGTTTGTGTTGTTTTGATTAAATGTTATTTGTGTAAAGTGTTTTTGTCAAAATAAACATCTTTTGTCTTGAACTATTATGTTAATGCAATGGGATTTATTAATAGAAGGATGGAGAATGTTGTTTTAAATATATCAAATTGTTCAAAACAAAGTTGACATAACTTTATGAATAAATACATGCATAGTTTTTAAAACTAATCTCTGTTTGAAGTTAGTTTTAAAATGTTTCTGCTTTCTGTTTAAAATAATTTTAAAAATTTAATTTAAAAAATTAAAAAATTAATTTAAATCCTTTATCACCTTTAACACCAAAATACAGTATCATAATCATATTCAAAATGATAAACTTGTAAATAATATTTGACATTTTTATTGTTTAATTTAATAAATAATTAAATTAATTAAAACAATAATTAATTATTTAACGTTAAATTAATTTTATAATCTAAATTATAAAATAATTAGTTAATGATTAATTCAGTTTTGTAATTAATATTGATAATCAGTATGACTTATAAATTATTTTTAATTCTTCAAAATCTTCAAAAATTTAGTGAACATGAGGCAAGCAGAAGAATGAAAACAGAACTGATGATTCAAATGGATGGATTAGCTCGCTCTGATCATTTAGTATTTGTATTAGCTGCTTCAAATATACCATGGTATATGATTTAAATGATGTAAAATTTAAATACATAATGAAGAAATTTTTTAATAATTTTGTTTTTTTATATGTAGGGAATTAGATCATGCTATTTTACGAAGACTAGAAAAAAGAATATTAGTTTCATTGCCAAATAGGGAAATCAGAATAGCATTATTTCAGCAGTTTCTTCCACCAACTGTTGTTCAAAATAAAATTATATGTGTCAAAAGTAATTTAGATTACTACTGTTTAGCTGATGTAAGTTAGATTTTAATTTTTATAAGTATTGGATCAAATTTATATAGCAAATGTAAAAAGGCTATTTAATAGTTTATAATTAATTTTTAAATTGTAATTTACAATACATTGCATGCACAAATGCCTATACAGTGACGCCTTGACTTCAAATTTAATTCTTTCGAGCAAGATGTTTGAACTCTGAATAATTCAGAGTTCAAATCAATTTTTTCCATTAGAAATAATGGAAAGTGAATTAATCCATTTGCAAATCATAAACAACATCCATTTTGATAAACTTAAACAGCAAAAACACAATTCAATCTGAATAAAATGAGTTTTACATAAGGCATTAAGTAGCTGAATATTTTCTAAGTTTTGAATAATCCTTTGCATAAAATGTTAATTTATAGACCTTTTGAAACATCTATGATTGTATAGCATCAATCAAATATTAACTTTCTGAATGTTAATTAGGAAACAATGAGCTTAACAGAGGCTGCAGAATAAAAACAGATAATAATGTGAAAATCTTTAAAGAATTATTATTCAACATTTCATGTAGTATAGCTCTGAAATTCATATATGCGTAGGCAATCCAGCAGTAAGGAAGTACTAGAAAATAATCCTAGAATCTAAATACTTTTATAAACCAACTTTATAAGGGCTAAAAGATGACATAAATAGATATTAATTTTAAGCATAAGTTTTAATAACAAAATGTCACATTTCATACAGAAATACAGTAGAGCGTCGATTATCCGAACCAATTGGGGACTGGGGTTGTTCGGAAGATCGATGTTTCGATTATGTTTCGATTATGTACGAAAAATATATTAATTTATCCCATGTTGAAATTTTTCTCCGTTGCGTGTCGCTTCGCGTCGAATTTTCGTCGATGTTAAGCCTAACGAAGACTATTGTATTGTTAAAAATTATTTTTTTATTTTGTACAAATAAAATAAATATATTGAAAAATATAAAAACAATAAAAAATTATACTTCAGAAGTTAATTTAGTATCAAAAACGTAAAATATTTGAGTAG